ATCTTGATTTTAAAAAAGCCTTCGAGCAGATGTCCCATGATCATCTTATGGAAAAATTAGCCAACTGTGACCTCGGCTACATCACAGTCTGATGGCTGGGGAATTGCCTCTGAGGTTGGACCCAGAGAGTGGTAGTCGATAGAAGTAAATCATCGTGGTGTCTCCCAAGGCTCTGTCCTTGGGACTATACTCTTTAACATCTTTATTAATGATGTGGACATTGGTATCAGAAGTGGACTGGCCACGTTCACCGATAACACCAACCTTTGGGGTAAAGTGTCCACACCTGAGGACAGGATGGTGATCCAGGCTGACCTAGACAGGCTCAGAAAATGGGTGGATGAAAACCTGATGCTGTTCAACACCAAAAAATACAAGATACTCCATCTTGGGAAGAAAAACCCGCGGCACTCTTAAAGGCTTGGCAGTGCTACGCTTGCTAGCACCATGACCGAAAGGAACTTGGGGGTCGTGATTAACCACAAGATGAATATAAGCCACCAATGCAATGTTGCAGCTGGTAAAGTGAGCAAAACTCTGTCTTGCATCCATAGATGCTTCTCAGGCAAATCCCAAGCTGTCATCCTCCCACTGTACTCGGTGCAGCTGGAGTACTGCATCCAATTCTGGGCTCCACAATTTAAAAAGGATGTGGAGAAGCTTGAGAGAGTCCAGAGGAGAGCCACCCGCATGATCAGAGGGCAGGAGAACAGGCCTTATGATGAGAGGCTGAGAGCCATGGGACTTTTCAGCCTCGAAAAGCGCAGGCTCAGGGGGGACCTGGTGGCTGCCTATAAGTGTATAAGGGGTGTTCAGGATCTGGGAGAATGTCTGTTTACCAGAGTGCCCCAAGGGATGACAAGATCAAATGGTCCCAAACTCCTCCAAGACCATTTCAGGCTGGATATAAGGAAGAACTTCTTTACAGTTCGAGCCCCCAAGGCCTGGAACAGATGGCCTCCAGAGGTGGTGCAAGCACCTACTCTGGGCTCCTTTAAGAGACATTTGGATGTTTATTTTGCTGGGATCCTTTGACCCCAGCTGACTTCCTGCCCCTGGGGCAGGGGGCTGGACTCGACGATCTTCCGATGTCCCTTGTAGTCCTAATGTCTATGAAATCTATGAAATCTATGAAGAGAAAAAGCAAAGCAGTTAACCCACTGAGGGACATAGGGGTTATCAAAACTAATCTGGTAATCTGGGTAAATGGGATAAGAATCTGTAGACCAGGGGTGGACAATTATTTGGGCTAAAGGGCCACTTAAAGAGTTTTGGTGAGCTGTTAAGAACTGTAGGGTGGGGGCAGGTGCTGACCTGGCCTCAGCCCCCCATAACAGCTGTTTGCACCACCCAGGGAGGTGAGATGCCAATTAATCTACTCGTTTCTGTCTGCCCTGCACCCACTGCTGGATGGAGCAGGTGGGTTGGTGGGTGCCCTGGCCTATCTGCCCCACACCCATTGCTAGGGACACTTGATGGAGCAGGCAGGCAGGCAGGCAAGGTCTCCATGGAGACCAGCTTGGGATCCCCCACAGGCAGGGTGGGCTCAGCTAGGCAAATGGGCTGGGGCCACGGGCAGGAGTGTTGTCCAGAAGCAGGATGGGCAGGTAGAGCTGGGGCCAGGGCCAGGATCACAGAGCAGTGACAGCACAGGGCCCAGGACAGAGTCATGACCTGCTCCCCACATGTCCCTGCGACAGGCACTGGTTCCTTGGGCAGTGGCTGGCCCCTCCATGGAAATGGCACCTGTCACAGAAATGTGTTGGGAGCAGATCCCGGCTCTGCCCCTGCCCTGGCCCCACCTGGATGCTGCTCCCTGCCTGCCCACGGCCCCATCCCATCCACCTGGCTGAGTGCACCCTGCCTGTGGGGGTGCTGGGCTGTTCTCCAAGGAGACTCCACCTGGCTGCCTGCTCTGTCTGGTGCTCCCAGCAGTGGGTGCAGACCTAATGGGTCATGGTGCCTAGGCAGCAGGACCTGGTCTGGCTGTGGTGGCAAAGACATTGGCAGCAGCAACCAGAGTGCGAGGGCAGGAGCAAGCCACCACCGCCACACATGCCATAGCTTGGGCTGCTCCCCACACCTAGGCTGGGCAGGGCCGAGGGACCCCCTGTGGGCCAGACAGATTCACTTGGTGGGCTGGATCCAGCCTGCTAGCCCTATTTTGCCCACCCCTGGTTTAAACCAGACTTAATATTATCTAGCCTGTGGATGATTTCTTGGTCTATTTCCTGCTCTCTTGTAGAGTGTTCATTTGAAATGGCTGAGGTAACCTCACAAATTTAATCAGCTATATCTATAAATCACTTAGCACTACAGTGGCATGCTCTAGTGCTGGGGCTATGGAAAAACTTGGCAGGTTTCCAGGCTGCTCGCTATTTTTGCCCTTGTCTGGCATTAAACTTTTGCATCCATTGTGATTATCAGAGTAGCAGACCTTGTCACATCCCCAGCAGAGCTACAGTGCTAACAGTTAGCAGATGCACAAATGAAAACCAAGATAACCAGTCTTTACAGTTTTACAGGAGAAGGAACTGACCATTGCAACCTGCTTAAAGGCAGGTATTTTCCAGCACATGCAATGTATTTGGATGATTATGTATTAACTGCACTCAGCTCCATTAAACTGAGACAAGGAAAGACCAGCTAAAAGGTCTGATTGTGCAGTTATTTATTTTAGAAATCCCTGGTTATTCCCCTAATTGCAGAACACGGATTATTTTATTCCTTATTTTATCAACAGTTTTGCTGGGAAATTATCAAATATTTCATTCTGATAAGGTTACAGTTTTTTATTATCACTTTGACTAGTACATTATGATTTCCATTTATTATATCACATTACATTCTATTGAAATTAAAAAGTTCAAAATACATGTACTTTCTTCTGTGAACTATTCTGAGACTGGACTCTTGTCTTGACTTGGGACAAAAATCAATTTTCCAAACCTCAGATTTTCTTCTGGGGTGCAATATCTGTTTTTCAGCTAACTTTACTTATGACCAAGGATTGTGGGAATGCACATCTGTGAACTGTTTTACTCTTTCAAACAACAAAGGTCTGACATTTCTCCTAGACTGGACACTTCTGGCATTCACATTCCATTTAAGACTAACCTTTTTTAAGTAGCTGTACGTGACGGACAGACCAAGCATATGCTGATACTGCACAGGGCAGTACTGTTCAGGAGCACATGAGCAAGAAATACAAGTGGGCTAGTTGAGGTAATGGAAGCTGCTTTTGTGCATGCCACTTCATCTGGACTAATTACCCTGGCTGAGAAGCAGGGCATATAAGTCTGAGCAGAGGGCAGTGTTAGTGTACCTACACTGTTTGTGGCATCTCAGAGACAGTTAGCTCTGGTATGACTGCATTGTATTGCATTGAGCTATGAAGGCAAAGCCCAGGTGTGTCTACATGTGCAATTAATGTGCTTGAATTTTCTGCACTGAAAATTCAGGCACATTAAACTGCACCCCGACATGCATATGAATGTGCACCCATTGGGAGCAAATTTGCTCCCAGTGGGTGGATCCAGACAAGCGTGGACGTTTGGTTCCTGGGGACAAGTTGTGCCACCACCTTGCAACACCACTACTTGTCTCCAGGGAACACCTGTGCCACATGCGCTTTGGCACGCAGCAAGTTACTCTGGGTGGGATAGGGAAGGCTGGGGCCAGCACTGGGCTGGCCCCAGCAGCCTTACCTGAGGTCCTGGGGGGGCTGTGGCGGGTGCAGAGATCCCACCTCAGGAACACAGCTGGGTATTCATATCTCTCCGCTGTTTCCACCATGTGAGGTGGGCCAGTAGGGGGTGCTCC